AGGTGTAATTGTAGTCTAAAATACAAAGACAAACCAAGTGTAAACTTTCCACCCCCTCCCCCCCCCGCCCCCACTCACCGTTACCATGATTTTCTCTTGCCTTTATCCCTCCCATCCTTGGTTTGTGCTTGATACTTAAGATTTTATATTTTCTTCAAAAGGCGATAAACCCGGAATGGAAGATTTCCTAATTTGGCCACATTTTGAACGCCTCCTTGTGTGGCAAGCGTTGATTGGATTAGACCTGACCCAGTTCCCAGCTGTCGCTGCATGGTGCGCGGCCATGAATGGAGTGCCTGCAGTAAAGGAATGCACTTATCCAGCAGAAATGTACTTAAAGTACTATGAAGGCCTCAAGAGTGGTGATCCAGAAGCACAGCTCATCGGCATTGATCAGAAAGCATAATGTGAAACAGCAACAACAACAACGGTTTTTGTCGTTGTTATGAGCGTAACTATGTGTTGTACGCTAGATCAGAAGTACATCGTCGGTGTAAACAGCAAACGTACCTTTCAGTAAATGGCCTCAAGTCTTTTAACAGATATATTTCAATGTTAGTTCTCGCTTTTTCAACCGAGACGAACCCCTAAGAACGTCTGCGGGGGCGCTCACTTAAAGCAATAGGCCATTTGCACAAAGAGGTCATGTGACGTCGTTTTTTGTGAAAATGAAAATTATATGATTTTGCCTTTGCAGAACGTTAGTGGGTCATGTCGTAAACAAAATAAGAGCGATTTGGTTTTTCAAACCCGCAACATTTTCTTAAAATGGGTAAGTTCGTAGCTGGTCACGTGACCAGAATGTGATTCTTAAAATTATGAATTAACTCTTTCTGAACACAAATTTTGCACTTAAACTTCAAAAGATGATGTGGTAACGTTTACAGCACATCTGAGCGTAACTATCAAACGTTTAACAAGATATAACCAAAAAGTAGTTTTGGCCGCCATGTTGGAGGGCAAGAGTATGCCCTCCAACATGTCGGCCAATACATTGTTGAAAAATCAAAGTGCCATAAAATATCTTCCTTAAACGCTTTTTCTCTCAAATTTTGGTTCTAAGATGAATTTTATGTGCTCTGTCAATTTTTGGCGTCAGCAAGATTCCAACTCCTTGTTTAAAGGAAGCATTGGTCACGTGACCTCTTAGTGCAAGTGGCCTATTGACCTTTCAGTTTCAATTTTTGGCAGGTCATTTTTAGTGGTACACCCTTTTTTTTATATAAGAATATATTTTATAAGAATGTCGAGGCTGAAATTTGCGAAATTTTAAGAATATTTTAAGAATAAAGCCGAGGCTGAGATTTTGAAAAGGACAGATATAATCTTGTATTGAACAGTCCGGAATATCCCTAAATTTAAGGACAGGGCCAACTGGTCACGCGACACTTTTCAACCAATGAGAAGGCGCGCTTGTGTTTATCAACAAACAAATCAAAACATCGCCCCAGTGATAAAAAATTTTCAAAACAACGGACGGAGTCGGACAGAATCAATCATCGTTTCAAGGCTTTCAGGCATTGTATTTTAATGACTTTTCATGAGGCATACACAATTTTTTTAAGTGGACAGCGTATCGGAAGCCATATTGGAAGTGTCTCGTGAAATATTCAGCACATTTTGTGGCTTATTTCTACTTTTATCTTTTAAACAACGGGGTGTATAGGCGAGATTTTAGTCGGTTTTCAATGTAGGTGAACAAGTATCTATTATCTTTTCGATTCACAGATTTTTTACGAAGTTCTAGATATTTTTCCTCGATTGTCATATCGATTGTCTTTTATCATGTTGAATGTGGGGATAGTAGACAACCTAGAATTTTGGTAGACAATTTTTGAATTCCGAGGTCCAAAACACGTACGTTTTCCACTTCCTGGTTTCTCACAGAGCGATGTTATTACTTTTTTTCGCATTGGTACGAGCCTTTGCCTTTTTTCTTTTCAAGGCCAAAACAACTTTATTAGTCTTATGGATATTCACGTCCAACATTTCGCCTCACTTTGCCGAATTTGCGGGGATGAAATTGAAGATCATAACCGCAAGGTAGATACTAACCACTTTGTTTCTGAAATTGGCCAAATCTGGAAAGATTTAATGTTGCTGGATTCTCCAAATGTTCATCCGCCGTTAAAAAACAATCAAAGAAAGAACGCAAATTTCAAGTGTAAATGATGTATTTCGCTACTCATTGAACATGCACTGATTATCTGGGATAAATAAATAAAATTAAAACATTGCAGGTACTACAGCAAGAAAAGAAAGCACCATATGAGTGAAGTCAACACGAAACAACACAAAAAAACAAACAAGAAAAATTAATAAATTTGAACTACTTTTTATTCTTGTTATGATGACTGGTTTTTTTTATTCTTGTCCTGTAGAAGTTAATAGGTAGTACCAATCCTGTTTTGTACTCTCTCAACAAATTTTCACACTCTCTCTAAGGCTATTTTTACACGGGACCAGTTTGCTTCTCCCAAAAATCTTGCAAGCCATGCCAGTGAAGCCGCGACCTCTGCGATCGGTTCAGAATCAGTTCGAACACCCCAATGATTCCTTGCAAGGAATAATGCTCTTATTCTCTTACATGAAATGTTTTCTTTGAAATATTAGATGTGAGACCTAGACGAGTACTGTATAGAGTGTTTTCACATGACGTCACGTCGGCCATATTGGTGTCCCAAAACAATGAAACGGCTGCCATGTTGGTGTCCCAAACCAATCCTGTGGGAGATGAACTCTTTTCTTATGCAAATGATTTCTTTTGTTCTAAAACATTTGCATAGATGCTGGCCACGTGAGTGAAAACACTCTATATAAGCTCATCTTTAATTCTGTCCGACTCCGTCCGTTGTTTTGAAAATTTTTGATCACTGGGGCGATGTTTTGATTTGTTTGTTGATAAACACAAGCGCGCCTTCTCATTGGTTGAAAAGTGTCGCGTGACCAGTTGGCCCTGTCCTTAAATTTAGGGATATTCTGGCCTGTTGAAACATCTGTAAATAAAATACAATTTTATGTTTTTAACTTAACCGTATAAAATTATTCCTTTCTCTGAACGGCGAAACTAGCCAAAAAAACTGACTGCAGCGAAAAGCGATGGAGCACGTGCACAATGTAACGCGATACAGATCTAGATACCAAACACTTGTAATTGATACCTCAATAAATTCTAAAACGGAAATGTCATAAGCTATAATTCAAGAATAATACAAGAATATTTTCAGCCTGAAATCGGCAGAAAAATAAGAATATTCAGCCTGGGCCGGAAAAACAACATTCTTATAAAAAAAAGAGTGTACTAGAGGCGCGTTGAGTTCATATTATTGTATTTCAGACGTTCAAGTTGGGTTTACTGTTGGCAGTTCATGTTGAAGTATCTAACCTACCTTAACAAAATAAAGTTCAAGTAAGGTGAAAATGGCCGGCTTCTTTACTTGTACGGGGTTTTTCTGCGATCAAGCATTTTTTAGCAATAAAAAGGAAGTCTTTTTGCGAAGCTTTAGCAATAACTTTTGTATGATTACCACAAGAACTACCGAGAAAATCTGAGTCGCTTTATTATGCCTGAAAAAAAGAGGGACAACGACTAGTGTACTGACTTTATTTCTTTCGATGATCGGCCTCGACATGAATGCTTTATTAAAAGACGTGAGGTGTTTAAAGGAGCTGAGTCACGAAATTCAGCCTAATTAGGTAATTACAAAATCCCCATTAAATTAAGAGAAACGTAAAAATAAAGGAAGGTTAAAATAACACAACAGATACAACAGATGTCATGGATGGGCTAAACTGAAGAAGATTGAAACGGATTGAAATTAGGGTTTTTGAAAACTGTTCGAGCCTAACAGTTTTTCAAAGTGTATCTCTGCTGTATACAACCTAAAAAAAAATGCTCAGGAGACATATTTGTTTGTCTTGAGTCTCCGATTTTGTCATTTACATGTAATTTCTTTGTAAGTTCCATAGCAGTTGAGGGCGAGTAATTGGCAAAATTAAACAAAATGAACCGGACTGCCGTGACACAGCCCCTTTAAATGAATCTTTGAAAAAACGAACTGTTAAAAATTCAGTATGATAGACAATGAAAGGATTTTGCAAAAAACACAGTGGCTCGCAAAAAGAGTCTCGAGGCTCGCAAAAAATGGCTCCGGCTCGCAGGCTCGCAGTTACTCTCTCAGATGACGCGGCTCCCTCTCTTCAGCTCCAACCTATTTTCTTAGACCGTCTTACCTTTCCAAATGACTGAAAAAAGTTTGAATTAGAAATGGCCTGCTAACACAGACGCATTATTTTAGGGAAACGACGACCGGAAGTACGTTGCACAGTTGTCGTATCCCAAAGCACCGGATGTTTGCGTTATTTACCAAAGATATTGTGTGACAACATTAATTATTCACGATCACAGTGACGATGCTGTCTATTTCATATTTATAGAGCTCACTAGTTCAGTGCCGTTAGCAGAATAAGTAGTAGAAAATTTTCATCAAACCGTTGAACATGGGCCATTATTCAAAGGCATCTGAAAAACAACCCTTGACCGGAAGTGCGTTGCACCGTTGTCGTACTCCAAAGGCCCGGATGTTTGCGTTATTTAGCAAAGATATGGAGATATTGTGTGACGACATTAATTATTCATAATCACAGTGACGAGGCAGCCTATTTCACATTTATAGAGCTCGACAGTTCAGTGCCGTTAGCAGAGTTACTGGTAAAAAATTTTCATCAAAGCGTTGAACATGGTCCATTATTCAGAACATGGGCCATTATTCAAAGGCATCTGAAAAACCACCCTTGACCGGATAGTACGTTGCGCGGTTGCCATACCCCAAAGGCCCGGATGTTTGCGTTATTTAGCAAAAGATATAGAGATATTGTGTGACAACATTAATCATTCACAATCACAGTGACGGTGCAGTTTACTTTCACATTTATAGAGCTCACCAGTTCAGTGCCGTTAGCAGAGTTACTGGTAGAAACTTTTCGTCAAAGTGTTGAACATGGGCCATTATTCAAAGGGATCTGAAAAACCACCCTTGAAGGGCGACCGCCTTCGTCTGTACAGCATGCGATTCTGTCCCTTTGCTCAGGTACTGTACTCACGCACTGTAGCACTCTGAACAATCCGACTTTCGCTTGCAGTAATAGGCGTGCCAAGTCATGCTACTGCCGTGCTTTACTGTCGTGCTATACTAAGGAAATATACTAAGGGCGAATTTACATTAATTTGATCAACTGAGTAAGGATGTAGCACGACGTTTGAAACGGGCCTTGGCCCTTGGATTCTATTTTCGCCGCCCGGAAATCAACTAGGCGAGCAAAGAGTTATAACAGTTTTTCAAACTAAGCCATCTAATCTTCATTTGCAAACCTTTATTTAAAGTTCATCCTGGTACGTCTCTGATCGCACCCTGCCTTCATATTATTTTTCTTGAAACATCCTGCACTACCCACCCTATAATAACCCCAAGCGGGATCAGAAGTAAATTTCTCTTTATAATATCAGCAGAGTGGTTATGAGAATTAGAAATTGTAATTAATTATACTTGGAAATTTTTTAATAAAGGTTGAATAAAGTTAGGGACATGATCACACAAAATGAATTCAGTTGATACTTTTAGCTTCTCCCCAATATATGAGGACAAGAAGCAAGAAATTATACTTAGCTATCAGGGATTATAGGGTTAAAGGGACAGGTTCACGGTTAAGCACATGCTCATTAATTAAGTTACTTTTTTCCAAATTATTATTTATTGTATCGGTTACTAATCCCACTCACATGTATCTCAGTGATCTCAGAGTGTATTTCAAAGTAGAAGTGTATTTCAGAGTAACCCGAAGTAGAATGGAGGAGTACTAAAATCAGAGAAAAAATTAGGGGATTATGCCAACATTACCAACGTTGAATTTACTGCTGACTTGAAGTGTTTACTCCATGGTTGATTAATTTGCAACTATTTGCAAATATTTAAGTTGATCAAGTGCAAGTGAGTGCCAGGGGAGTGTTCAGATTGGTTCTTTGACAACATTATGACATGATCATATTGCTTGCATAGATGATACTGCATGACCTGGCAGAAAAACAACATTTTGATAAATGAGCATGCGCTGAACCGTGAAAAATTTAATCTCCTGATGAGTTCATCACATAATCTATCTACAGAGAGCCCGTCTGGTTTTAGCTGCTAAAGGCATCAATTACGAGTGCGTGAACATCAACTTAAAGGACAAACCCGATTGGTTCTTTGATTTAAACCCTGTTGGAAAAGTTCCAGTGATTGAACAACCTGATGGGGCTGTCATATATGAGTCACCAATATGCTGTGGTAGGTACATGTAGCTTGTTTTGTAATGGCCCAACTTAGGTAACAGGTGTACTAGGTAAGTCCAAGGGTCATATTAGCTATTGTTTTCAGACTCTAAAACAATGACTACACTTGTAAAAGTTTTTTGAAATTGACCCCAAAACATGCAAACTGAGGGGAATGGCATACCCAGTGGGGAGGGTTACTCCCATATTTAAGCCACATAGGTATGTACCACCCCAAAGGGTATGATTTTAGCACCATTTTGGTCTCAAAACTCAGGGAGGCACACTTCCATCAAGAACCCCCCTCCTTCAGTCCCTGGTAGCCATATAACTTTCTCTCCACCACCTTGTAAAATCCTACGAAATAATTTAGCACTGTGCAAGCCATTTTCCAGAGAGGTTTCATTTGAGTGGTTTTTTATGTCCCTTCCTTGGGATTCCACCACATTGTCGAGGTGCAATATATATTTGGAATGAAAAATCTTATCCGTCACCCTTACTCAGTTTAGGGTGCTACATGTATACATGTACATTCAGGGTTGTCTTACATAAAGTGACGTGTGACCTGAAACTTCTTAAATCAAAATATTCTATCATTTTGTCTAAAAATAGTTTTATGGTTTGAGAAGGTCATTGCATAGAGGTGAGAATATTTTCATTTAATGTTGAGTCAAACTTTGGTCTTAATCTTTGCCATGTGAGTCCAAAAAAAACATGAATTCTTTGATTCACTCAAATACCGAGTTAATTGTGCAATGACCAATAACTATGAAGATAGGAAAAGTTTCATCACACCTGATTGGCTTAATATTCCCTGCTACACTGACAAATATTTCTGAAATTAATAGAATAAATATTTTATTTCTTAATTGCACAGTACTAACTTTTGTTCCTTTTCTCTCTCCTTTTTTTTTCAGATTACCTGGAAGAAGCATTCCCTGATAAGCCTCAGCTTTATCCTGCTGATAACCCAGTTAAAAAATCCAAGCAAAAGATTATAGTTGAAACCATAGGAAGTGCGGTAGGGATCCATTCTATCTCAGTGCCATTATATACGTACTAATAGCAACTGCTAATCCCTGAAGCCCATTTCACACCTGGTCCCCAGAGAATAGCTATTTAACAATTATTCCTTGAGCCCCAATGGGCTCTGAGTCAATAGCCCATAAGGCCGAAGGCCGAATGGGCTATTGATTCAGAGGCCATGAGGGCGAGAGGAATAATTGTTTTAGTAGAATCCAACTAGTTAGTCAAAAATATCGAGACAAAATAACTTAAAGCAAGACTTTAATCCTTTTTTGCCGCCAAAAATCCAGCACTTTTCGCTACTAGTGGGCTATAACATATAGCCTAGTAGTAGCTCAACCAATCAGAACACAGCATTAATAATAGACCACTAGTTGGATTTTACTAATGTCAGTTATGGCTGCCAAGCATTTGAATTAAGTTCAAGAATTAAGGCACAAAAATGTGATGCACTCCCAGGGTTTTCATTAAGAATTCTAGTAGTGGGAGAAAGGTGTAATGTTACATGAGAATATTTTGAAAGAGGCTCCCCATTTGAATGAAAAAATAGTCACAGGCTACCGAACATTAGCCAGAGAATATTACTCTGCGGGGGAGGGGGGTACTTGGGTTAATTTTAATTTTCGCTGGGAATGTGCTGCTGGCTTCTCAGAGCCCCTACCCCTGATTATAGTCTATTCTGTGGCCAATTATAGACCCCATCTTAGTCACTTTTGGGCAAATGAGTAATTTTCACTATCCCAACCTAGTCAGTTTGTATTTTTAAGAATTGACCCATTTCTTAATGAAGAACACTTTACTTTTCATCTGCAGTTAACAAACATTCTGGTACGTTTGCTAACCGTAAATATGAAGAACTGTCTTACCCCCCGAAAAAAAAAAAAAAAAAAGAAAGAAAATGTGCGACCCCATTCTAGTAACTCTGTTGAAAATGTGACCCCATTATAGCCTATCCAGTCGTGAAAATGTGACCCCATCCAGCGGCACATCTCTATTAGCCTGGAATCAAAGCGATCCAGCAGAAGGCAAAGAGGCAAGTTTGGTTTTAAATTCGGAAAGCGATTGTGCTGTTTTTGCCTCGTAAGAAAGATTAGTCCAGACTATTGCACCACTATACTTAAAACTTCGTTTGAGGAAATTAGTCTTTGGCCTTGAAAGTGCTAGATCAGTTTCAAGATTCCTAAGATTAAAGTTGATGTTACCATCGCTGACGTTCAGTTTTGTAAAGGATGCAGCTTCAGATGGGGGCAGATCATAGAGGATTTTGTATATTAGGGTAGCCTTGTGATGTAATGTTCTTGATTGTTTTTTACAGTTTAATACTGCATTTTACAAAACCCTTCGTGCTCTTGGTGAAGAAGAACCCAAGGAAGAACTGAAAAAACAACTGTCTGCATTTGACAATTATTTGAAACAAAATGACAAACATCTTGGAGGTAAGCGAAATATTGCCACTCATTTCACAAAAATAAAAAAGAATCATAAAAAGTATAGATAACAAACCAAAGGACCATGCTGGCTTTTGTTCCTGAGAACAATCAAATTGTGGTTCCCTGAGTAATGGCATATGTACAAGCCAAAAGTTGGAGTCTTCAACGTAAAAATATGAAACTGCCCCTGAGATGTAAAATTATTTTAACCATTCACTTTCCATCGTCCCTTAGCCTCTTTTCATTTTCTTTCCCTATTTGATGCTTTTGTTTCCCTCCACACCCCCCCTTTTTTTTTCGTTTAGCTGGGCAGATACTGGGCTACCATCTTGGTGAGAAAAGTTTTAAGGAAAACCCCGAGGATAGAATGTTCAGAGTAATATCATAAGGTCGTCAGGATCGAACGCTAAACGCTGACCGGTACAGGCGACCAGCTTGATTTTGTACCGAGGGGGCTGGCGTCCCCTGCCCTCTAAGTAGATTTCACATCCAAAATGGCCGCCCGTAGCTCAAAAGTCTTCAATCTCGTCTTAATAATATGCAAATGAGTATATATGATAGGAAACACTGGCATGCATTGTCCCATTCACTTCACTTTATCCGACACGAAGGCGATTGGCGACCCACCGGCCCTCCCCAGCGAGTAAGTTGGGTTCCAGATTACCTATTCATGCATTCAGTTCAGTCTGTCTTGGGCTTGTCCCAGGTCAGATTGACTCTCCATACCATATTATAATGTCATGAATAACAATACCCTGGGATGAATATTATACTCTGAACAGTCTACCTTTAGGATGATTGGTAAATTTTTTTTCCCTTTAAAATTGTACATGATTTTTTTCATTTTTCTCTGGCCTTTTTCACTGAATTGTATTCATTTGGGTATGGCCTTGTGCACTATGAGGTTTTGAATCCACCCCATTTTTATGCGTTACCCCCCCTACGCAAACCTAAGATGCTTTTCAGTCCCCCCCCCCATCCCCCCCCAAGAAACAGCACTACAAACTTCCCCTTCTCTTTTCCCTCCCATTCCCTGCTTCCTCGTTTTACGTGCTTTCCGTTTCTCATTTCTGCTTTTTCTTTGATTTTCATTCTCATTTCTGCTATTTTTCTGATTTTCATTTTCCTTTAATTGAAAGGTGATAAACCCGGAATGGGAGATTTCTTAATGTGGCCATGGTTTGAACGTCTCCTTGTGATGCAGCCGCTCATTGGATTAGACCTTTCCCAGTTCCCAGCTGTCTCTGCATGGTGCGCGGCCATGAATGAAGTGCCTGCAGTAAAGGAATGCAGTTATCCGGCGGAATTGCACATGAAGTTCTACGAAGGCTACAAAAATGGGGACCCTGAATCCCAACTCGTTGGCATCGATCAGAAAGCATAATGCAAAATCGGTTGCATTTGTCATCAAAATCAAAGCTTTTTTGGTTCATGATCGTCAACATATGCTGTAAACCATTTGTATCATCTTACAACATAGATGAAACAGAAGTATTTAATCAATGTAAACCGAAAAGGTACCTGTGAATAAATATAAAGTCCTTCAAAATTTCAATGTGATCAGTGTGCTGACATCTAACTAAGCGTTTCTCGCTTTTGACTACATCCAATTAGAAGGAAAATGGAAATCTTATTTTTAGCAATTTCCTAGCCTCCCACGCAGACGTTTTTAGGGGTTTGTCACGCGTTCCTGCCCCACAAACGTGGGAGGCTAGGAATTTCCATGCTAATAGGCAGAAACCGCTCTCATAACGGACTTGGTAAAAAATGCGGTTTATCCGGTACTGAAAATTTATGGTAGTTTTTGCCGTTCTGCTCTAATACGCAATTGATACAATGACAGGCTCTTCACTCAAAAACGTGCTTTTATTTAACGCAATTTTTAATTTAAATATGTGTTCTAAGACTGCGTTGCTTGAAGCAGATTCAAAGCTCCCCTTTAGGAGTTGTCTCTCGTTCCCCCGTGGATTCAAGTTGATCAAATCCAGCCACTTCAGTGATCGTCTACAAGATCCTCGATGCTGGACAGCCCGTTTTCTACAACACTGAATAAATCTCCTAAAGAAAAGCACGTTCCAGCATTCAGATGGTCGTGTGTGGCGCGAGGTGCTTCAGATAGTGAAGCGTGGCGTAAAGTCAAAGAGCGGAAAAACCCAACCCACCCCCTAACTATTCTCTTTGTGCTGTCCCCACAAGGTTACCTCTGTAGGAATCGGTACAGGTTTCAAGTTGGAGCGCTAGTACGAGATTTAAACATTCCGCTGGTTGTTTGAAGCGCAATTGTCGCGAATCAATGAGTCCGTAGTTCTAAAAGATCGCTAAAAAATCTAGGCAACCTCTTGTTTGCACTACTAAAGCGTATGAGACTCCTGAGGATGGAGTGCTAGTAAGAGGTTAAAAAATCCCGCTGGTTGCTTGACTTCTCAATGAGAAGCACAGTGGTCGCGAATCAATGAGTCAATAGTAAAGATCGCCGTGAAGTCTGGGCAACCGCTTGTTACACAAGTTTCAAGTTTATCAAGTTTCAAGTTTATTAAGAAAAAATTGAGAAAAGCGTATGAGATTCCTGAAAGTAGGCCTCTCTATTTGCTGATCAGCAACAGACAAATAATATTAAGCAGATTATGCTATCCAAAGCAAACAGGATGTTTATCATAGGTTGCAACACACTCGCGTTCGTAATATGCAATTACTGCTTACCGAACTGTCTTCCTCCAGTCGAATGATATCACCTGTTGTAAGTTCACCATTGTCTATTGCCTAAAATATCTGAAACAAAACGAAAATGGCAGATATGGGATAACACCTACTAACAGTCATGCATCAGTTTATTGTCCTTTGTGGGTGGGTGTTTGAGTTATCAAACTTAGCTTGGTGTTTCTTAAATTATGGGATTGGTTAGCATATTAAAAATATTCCTCCTGGCGAAACGTCCCTAGCGGCGAGGAGCAACGAGAAACGGCTGTATTCGCAGGCTAAGTTATGTGACCATTTTCGACTTTCTGAATTTGGCTAAAACTCGTGACACTTCCCTTTTAAAGATTCCCAGAATGAACATTTTTTGATCTCTAGGTTGAACACCCGTAATTGTAAATCTAGCAGCTATGAAGTTTCATTTAAACACTCGTGCATTTTCACGCAGGATTTAGAACCGGGGATGCATGCTTCTTCACACCCTTCATTATCGGATCCTCCGCCCCCTATATTGGGTCTTAACCAGAACTTGACGTATTTTACAAAGTTTAAGTAGTTTTTATAGAAACTATTACCTTTCTAGAAGCGGAAGAAAACTGTTCATTCCATACAAATGGTTGATCACCTACAACTGCGGGCTCCTACAAGTTCAATTAAAAAATATTTATCAGAATTAAACACCTCATCATAACGTTGGTCAAAATTGTTTTAGATGAGGAGCCAATTGGTCTCTTGCGTAGACACACCCACACTACTCGGTAAGTGTCACGCAGTGTTATTTCATAAACATTTCGAACAACTGTAACTATACATTTATCAGTTTCGTTTGAAAAATAACATTCATTTGATTGATACGATGTTTTGAACCTTTCAATGTCTTGAGGACCTACCTTGACTAAGGATAGAGAGGCTGTACAAGGCACCACCAGTTGCTATTGTGACAGTCACTGATTGTTCAACTTATAGAGAGGGTAGCCTCATATTTAATTTGTTCAATAAGGGAACTGCTAGTCTTATGGAGGTGCAGGTTAAGACAAACTTGACTATTTAGACACTCCTACATTCTTTACATGTAAAAGTTTTCAAACCCCTTGAAAGCCTTCTTGCCAGCTTTGACCAGAATTAAGAGCTGATCCCTGAAAATCAAAGCAGAAAAACTAATTTAGAACAGTCTTTTAAGCGGAGCCCCATAGCTGAAGAAAATTTAGGAACCTATGGTCCCGAGAAATCTGGTTATGACGTCAGCATACGCCCGAAAGACCGCCCGTACAGAAGCTAAAAACCAAGTAGGGCACGTTTTGTACCTTGCCTTTCGTTTTAGCGCAAAATTAGATTGATTCATGTTTCTTGGACTCGACTGACGACAAAATTTTGCGAAAAAAATTCTAAGGCCTTGCCGTTTGCTTGCTCGCGCTTTTCGTCACACTCCACCAGCAACCTAGTCTCTCCCCCCACCCCCCATGCACAAACACACACACTTGGTCAAACTGAGTTTACCAGGTTTGCCTAGGACCAGGCTCAGCAATCGGGGAAAAAGGCAAAAAACGGGGTCAAATAGGATTCCATCCCTAGACTACCTGTCGGCTCGCTTCGCCCGCCGTTTTTTTCTCCCTTTTACTTTAAGGCGGAGCCTGGTCCCAAGCTATTGACAGGTGAATTCGTGCGTGAAAACTTATGCAGCATCCAGAAATTTGATCCCCGACAGACTACGTGCCGGCAAGTGATCATGAAGCCTTTATTTTTTTCATTTCAGTTAACTAAAGTTTTAAAATTCTCTTGTTCTTGTCATGTACTTCCGCCACAAAATAAAATACAACTACCGTCTATGTTCTTTTTCTGTTTTTCAAAACTGAATTGTTTGTTTGGTTTTTCGTCGAGGATAGTGTTGCAAAGCTAGGGTTTCATCTGATCAATAGCTGCGCTTTTGCTGGTTTTTGACAATTTGATGCTAGCTCTTGCGGCCGACTATAAGAAAAATTATTTAAACTTTTCAAATTTTTAACTATTTGTGTTCCTTCACTTTGGTTTTTCGCTTTTGAGGAAAACGACGCCACGGGATTCAACGAAAGTGATTGTTGAATATGCAGGCTCAGTTTACAGCACGAAGAGGAGTACAGGAAAGGTTTCTGACCGCACGTACTCCGGCGCTTTCAGGGGCTGCATAAAAGGTGAGAGAGAGTAGTCAATTGCAGTTTTTGTCTCGTTTTAGTTTTGTTGTAAAGTCGGGCGTAATTATTTCATGTCATGACATGTATCAAGATTATGATGTCAATGGCCTGGAGTTACATCAGCCTTAATTAACTTTCTGGTTGCAAATGGAAAGAAAACGTTTTTAGAGAATACCCAGTTTTTAGCGATTGCCGATAAAAAGTAAGGATTATTAGCGAAAGTCTTGCTTCGAGGCTCGTTCATCTATTTTAAACGCCAAGCCGGCTAAAAAAAAACTATCTAACTGACAAATTAAACACAAAGAAAACTCAGCTTGAGTTTTCGGAAACATTTCAGTCACTCTACTTGCTGTCTTGACTAAAAAATGTTGCTGTTGAACATGTTTCACTTAAGTTTTATTCATGGTTGTATTCAGGTGTTGAGCAGTTCTTTTTGCATTGCCTTCCGCGGACTGTGCCTCAGGATCCCAGGATGACGCGTGAGTGAAATGCCTGAAATGTCTGGTCAGCGGTCAGCGATGATGATAGCCGCGTCTTTTGAAGCTGGCTCGTTTAGTGTTATTTGTTGTCTTTTTTGTGTGTTCGAGTAAGAGTTCCTGTGTGCGTGTGTGCGTGCGTGCTATAATAGAAAGCTATAATAGAATAAAGTAAATCTTGAGTTAGTTTTACTATAATGTGCCCTTCTCCATTCTACTTTTCTTTTTTTTAATTATGTACACGTAGTTTAAACAACCTTGTACTAATTGATATTTTACGACTATTGTATTATCTATAGGATGGAGTAAAAAATATAATACAAAAAATATATATATATACAAATAGCAAAATGCCTGAAAACGGCATAGCGTGTGATTTGAGCCTTGTTGTGTTTAAACATTAACTCATTTTGTTCACTCTCGCTGAAAAGAAAGTACGTAAGAGATTTGTCGATTATGTTACCGGCCGTTTGTGTTGGTTATTCATAGGTAGACTGCAAAACAGTCCGTATTTTTGCGTATTCAAGTACGCAACGCGCGAGCAGTCAAACAAAAGGTTTGGAAACCCCGAGAGCGAGACCTGGGGAGAGACACTAAAAATGTTTCCCTCGCCTCACACGCCCTACGGGCGTGTGAGGTTCGAGCGCTTAGCGCGCGTAAGACTCTTACAGCACCCTTTACAGATTTCTTTACTGATTTTGTGAAAAAAATCGACTGTTTTGCAGTCTAATTCATAGGGGGAAATGTTAGTATTCATCAACCTTCCTCGGTCTTTTTGCCAGAAGAAACAAATAGTATAACTTACCGTCTTTCCCCTCCGCGGAGGCTCCCACTGGGTATCCGTACAAAAATAGCAACAATCGAAAAAAATATAAAGCGTGCGCTCTCTTTTTCTTTCTCCCCAGCCTACCCCACAACACAAACAGGCCTATACGGAGGAGAGAGACTTACAGTAAATAACTAACTACAAAAGAGTAGCTTACACGTCACGATTTGTCGGTCCGAGTGCAAAGACAACATATTCTAAACACCAAAATCGGCCTAATTTGGTATTTGGGTAGAATCACTTTTAGACGAAAAGAATGACCTATAAACATAAACTGTGAACTGGACGCAGACAAAGAGTTTCGTGAATGATAACTACATTGTACCCTTTATTTACAAGTAAATATTTTATGGGCTATTAGCTTCGCAGTTGGGTGGGGTGTGGTTCCGTAATGCAGACGTCTGGGTAAGAATTCTTTTCCAAGACTAAGACTGTGATCGGATTTGATTTATAATTTTCGTTTTTATTTGTATAAATATAAGTATACTGATTTCTGGATTTCTTTGCATAGTTTGAAGCTCATTCGGCGCTTTAATTTTTTGGTTTTATGTAATTAAAAGTATAAAAATGGACGCTTCGCTTTTTAGCTTTGGTTAAATCTATTTATTACATAGTGTCAAACGCTTTTCGATGCAGTATCCACAGTTGGCCAAGTCATAAAACTTCCTTCTTGTTTAGCTTTTTTACCTACTCACTTTTTGCCCGTCATAGAGTAAATAAAACTAGCGACTTCATAATTCCCTATCCTTTGTTTTTCCCTAAAGTTTATTCATTTGCTCTATATTCGATATATTTTTTCCAGTTTTTCACAATTCCAACCAATTCCCTTAATTCTTTTTTTCCTTACACGATCTTGTATACTAGTACTACTGTTTAGTCGAGTTCAGATTTTTGGTGCTGTGACGTTTCTGAGGTTTTTTGTTATAGTCAGCTTGTACAGCATCATTCTTTTTAATTCCTTCTTTATGTCCCTTTTGAAAACAGCATAAGCAAACGGATTTACAGCGGAGTTAATAACCAACACAGGTATTTTAAATCTAGAATCTAAACATGATTTGCTTAAGATAATCAGAATACCACAGCGTATACTAAGAACATTGTAAGCAAGAAAGAAACCTGAAACAACTGACATTAATACAACGCCACATTTCTCGTAGCTTTTATACGAAACACGATGGTTAAAACGTAATTGTCTTGTTAAAATATGAAATTGTCGCTTGTGTTTATATACAACACGCAACATGGAAACCAAGCAAACGATAACCATGCAACATGGCAAAAACTTAAAGAAAATAAAGACAAACCACATGAAAATTTTCCAGTTAAATGAATTTAAACCAATCCAGGGTGAAGATGCAAGCGAAATGAAAATAACTGTTATCGTCCAAGGGAGCGCAATCATTTGTATGACGCGCCGATGGGTCATAAAAGTCCCATATTTGTAAGGCATCACGATGGCAATATACCGCTCCAATACTAAACTGCACAGGCACATCACAGAGGCATCTTGAAGAAACCAGCGCACTAGCAATTGAGCCCTTTTTAAATCTTGCGAATAGCTGCCATCTCTTGTCGTCTCGTACAAAAACAGCAAAGGAAACACACATATCCCAACACAGAGATCTGCAACTGCGAGTGAAACCACAAACGCGTTGGTTTTGGTGCGAAGTTGTCGTTTGTTGCACACAAGGAATATATTAAATCCATTTCCAATAATCGTCAGAATGGAGAGAAACCAGCCAAGAACCACAAACCACCTTTCCATATTGCAGTCAAATGTCTTCGTCACAGTTTATTCAGCTCTGCCAAAAATGACTACTTATACAAACACCTGGTCTCCAGTTAACAGCTTGCGTACAGAAAATAAAATATACGTCACAAAAATTAGTCAACTGCGGTAAGGAAAACTGCCCCTCTACCGTGTGTATATTGCTTTCAATTTAGTACATGATTAAAACCATTCTGGATATACCTTTTGGCCGTTCTTCATAATGATTGTGATGATGACCATGGCAACGAGAAAAACTCTTTACTTTACATCAACGCATGCATGAGGAATCAGAAGCCCTCCAAAATTTATTTTCTTTTCTTTTTTCTATTTTCGAGAATGATCGATTAAGTGCATGGTATAAGAACACAACAGGCGGAGA